GCGTGTTTTTTACAGGACAAGAGGCCAACATGAACATACAGACGTTACTGATTAATAAAGCAACGAGAGAGTTAACGATGCGTGTTTTTACAGGACAAGAGGCCAACATGAACATACAGACGTTACTGATTAATAAAGCGATGAGAGAGTTAACGATGCGTGTTTATTACAGGACAAGAGGCAAACATGAACATACAGACGTTACTGACGGGCAAACAGAAGTTCTGCCGGCACTGTGATGTGATGGTGAGCAGCACTGGCATCAGGAAGAAGGTCGCTGACATGCCGTTCGTCACCAAGGAAGACCAGGTGTGTGGTGTACCTGCTACTGTAAGCTGCTAGTGTAAGCTGCTACTGTAAGCTGCTACTGTAAGCTTGTAGTGTAAGCTGCTTGTGTAAGCTGGTAGTGTAACCCGCTACTGTAAGCTGGTAGTGTAACCTGCTACTGTAAGCTGCTACTGTAAGCTGCTAGTGTAACCTGCTACTGTAAGCTGCTAGTGTAAGCTGGTAGTGTAACCTGCTAGTGTAAGCTGGTAGTGTAACCTGCTAGTGTAAGCTTGTAGTATAGGGTGGTAGTGTAAGCTGGTAGTGTAAGCTTGTAGTATAGGGTGGTAGTGTAAGCTGGTAGTATAGGGTGGTAGTGTAAGCTGCTACTGTAAGCTTGTAGTGTAGGGTGGCAGCTGGTAGTGTAGGGTGGTAGTGTAAGCTGCTAGTGCACTATAGGGTGGCAGCTGGTAGCTTAGGCTGGTATAGGACCAGTTGTATGGTTTACGTGATACTCTAGGTGTGAGGTCTTGTATTGTAGTAGGTTGTGTATGGTTTACGTGGTACTCTAGGTGTAAGGTCTTGTATTGTAGTAGTTGTATGGTTTACGTGGTACTCTAGGTGTAAGGTCTTGTATTGTAGTAGGTTGTGTATGGTTTACGTGGTACTCTAGGTGTAAGGTAAACCATACACACTACAATACAAGACCTTACACCTAGCCGTACCACGTAAACCATACAACTACTACCAATACAAGACCTTACACCTAAGCGTACCACGTAAACCATACACAACCTACTACAATACAAGACCTACACCTTAAGAGTACCACGTAGAACCATACCAACTACTACAATACAAGACCACACCTGAGTACCGTAAACCATACAACTACTACGAATACAAGACTTACACCTAGCGTACCACGTAAACCATACACCAACCTACTACAATAACAAGCACCTTACACCTAGAGTACCCACGTAAACCATTACAACTACTACAATACAGACCTTACACCTTAGAGTACACGTAAACCATCACAACCCTACTAGCAATACGAAGACCTTACACCTAAGTATCCAGGTAAAACCATACACATCCTACTTACAATACAAGACCTTACACTAGCGGTACCACGCTAAACCCATACAACCTTACTACAATACAAGACCTTACACCTAGCGTACCACGGCTAAAACCATACACAGCCTACTGCAATCAAGACCTTACACCTAGAGTACCACGTTAACCATACAGACTACTACAATACAAGACCTACACCCGTAGAGTACACGGTAAACACATCAACAACTACTACAAAAAACCTTACACCTAGGAACCACGGTAAAACCATACAAACCTACTACAATAGCAAGACCTTAGCACCTAGACGTTACACGTAAAACCATCAACTACTTACAATACAAGACCTGTACACCTAGACGCTACCACGTAAACCATACCAACTCGTACAATACAAGACCTTACACTAGAGCTACCACTAAACCATACACAACCTACTACAAATACAAGACCTTACACTAGGTACCACGTAAAACCATAACAAACTACTACAATACAAGACCTGTACACCGAGAGTTACCACGTAAACCATACAACAACTACTACAATACAAGACCTTACACCTAGTACCACGTAAACCATTACAACTACTTTACAATACAAGAGCCTTACACCGTAGAGTACCACGTAAACGATACACAACTACTACAATACAAGACCTTACACCTAGAGTACCACGTAAACCTACACAACCTACTACAATACAAGACCTTACACGTAGAGTACCACATAAACCATACACAACCTACTACAATACAAGACCTTACAC